GCATCCAACTGGCTGACCCCACTTTTCACATTTCGTCAAGAGTGGATATTCTTCTGGGAACTCAGCATGTCTGGGATATCTTCACTTTTAACAAAATGGCCGACGACGTCGGCAACCAATTCGCTATCTCGACAATTTTCGGCTGGGTTATCACTTCTATTAGTCTGTGGGAGAAATTTCTTCCATCTCTTCCCATATTACGGTTTCGGATGTAGATCATACACTGCGCAAATTCTGGGAGATCGAGGAATCCAAACCACCTCTGTCAATGGACTCCGATGACCTTTTGGTAGAACAACATTTTCAGAATACAGTATCCTTTTAAGGGAAATCCACCGCATTTTTCAAACACCTTACAGGGAGCAGTTTCTAGGTTCCATGCAGTAGAACGGCGCTTGTTAAAGAATATGCCGCTCAGAGATCAGTATGTACAGTTTATGCGACAGTACGAGGCATTAGGACATATGCACGCAATAGAAGAATGTCATGGTATATCTAGTGATGGTCACGTATTTTATCTACCTCATCACCCAGTTCTCGGTAAAAATCTTAGGGTAGTTTTCGATGGATCATACGCTGACACTATGGGGGTGTCTCTTAACAGCTCCTTACATGCAGGGCCAAATATACAACGTAACCTGTTTGCGGTTTGCTTAAGATTTCGCTTTCATCAGTTCGTATTCACGGCGGACATTGTCAAGATGTTTCGCCAAATATGGGTATCTGAATATCATCGCGACTTTCAAAGGATTGTATGGAGGGAAAGTCCTGACTTGCCTCTTAAACATTATCGGTTGAACACGGTTACCTATGGAACTGCATGTGCACCATTTCTGGCAGTAAGGGTTCTGCAGCAGCTGGCTCATGACTCCAAGGAACAGTTTCCCCGCGCGAGTAGCATACTGCTGGAGGACTTTTATGTAGATGACGTGCTGACGGAGGCGGCCTCGGAGACGGAGTTAGTGGAAAGACGTGATGAGTTGGTTCAGCTGTTTAAAAGCGGAGGTATGGAATTGAGCAAGTGGGTATCCAACTCGACTCACATCATTTCGGACCAGTCCGTTCACCATGAAGTGTTCTCAGAAGAAACTACAAAGGTACTTGGTTTGTACTGGAGCCCTAAGGAAGATACATTGACATACCGAGTGCAACTCTCCACCACAGCTGTGGCTAGTAAGAGACACGTTTTTTCAGCTGCTTCACGCTTGTTCGATCCTTTCGGTCTCTTGTCTCCTATTGTTATACGCTTTAAGGTAATGTTTCAAGCCCTCTGTCTCCAAAACCTGGGCTGGGACGATCCACTGCCTACACACTTGGCTAACCTGTGGGCAGCATATCAGGAAGACATTCATCATGTACGCGATCTAACTATTGCCCATTTCGTTCCTAATAGTGCCACCGAATGGGAGCTTCATGCGTTTTCAGATGCATCACTTAAAGCATATGCAGCGGCGGTCTATTGCCGTTTCGTAAACGACACAGGCCAATCCAACGTTTCTCTGATAGCTGCAAAAACTCGCGTGGCACCATTGAAAACAGTTTGTTTACCGCGGCTCGAGCTATGTGGGGCACTATTGCTAACACGTTTGGTTAAGGTCATTCTTGACTCAATGCCACACCGAACTATCTGAGTATATACCTGGTGTGACTCTACGATAGTTATGTCATGGCTTTCCATTCCTCCAGTAAGGTTGAAGACCTTCGTTGCTAACAGAACCAGTGAAATTCTGGATACCCTTCCACGGAACGTGTGGCACCATGTGGCATCAAAGGACAACCCAGCAGATTGTGCCTCACGCGGAATGTCAGCTGCTGCGCTAACAAATTTTGAGTTATGGTGGAAGGGACCAAGTTGGTTAAGCAGCGGGGAGAAACTCAACAATCTTTTAAGTAAGAACATTTTTCCCACTCCTCACATCGACCCAAACGTTACAAATGAAGTTAAAGGTACCACCGTTACCATGGTATCCATGAACGAAAACGATATATTAAACGACTTTTACGAACAATTTCGTACGTGCATCGCTTTATAGACCGTTTACGCAAACGCGCTCCACACACCACATCAATCAGCTTTACCTTCGACGAAATTGATAATGCACGTAACGTACTTCTGCGTCATGCCCAAGCCTGTTTCAAGGACGACATCGAGTCCCTGAAGTGCCAACAAAACATAAATAACCGCTCAAGAATCATTAAATTAGCACCGTTTTTAGACGATTAAAACCTTCTTCGAGTAGGTGGACGGATCTCCAACTCCGACTTGGATATGGAGGCCAAGCATCCGATCATTATACCTAAACGACACAAGATCACTGATATTATACTGACTTATGAGCATCATCGGCATCTCCATCCAGGAGTTTCAGCACTCTTCGTAATCGTACGACAGAATTATTGGATATTAGGGGCAAGGAATTTAATCCGAAGAATCACGCACGCTTGTTTAAAATGCTTTCGTCAACGGAATTCGAATACCCAACAATTTATGGCTGACCTTCCTAACATTCGTGTACAACGAGCATTTCCATTCCAGCACACCGGATGTGATTACGCGGGACCGATAACCATGAAACTTTATCGAGGCAGAAACGCTCGTCAGTCAAAAGGGTACATTTGCATATTTGTTTGTCTCGCCACGACAGCTATCCATATAGAGTTGGTAACAGATTTGTCTACGGATGGATTCCTATCAGCACTTCGCCGCTCCATGTCACGCAGAGGCAAATGTACACAGCTGTTCAGTGACAATGGACGCAATTTTTTGGGTGCTTCACGTGCTCTCAACGAAATGCACCAGGCGTTACTATCGCAGGTGCACAACGAGACAATTGCGGAAGTTTTGGCAGGAGAACGTACTCGATGGAATTACATACCTCCTCACGCACCCCACTGGGGCGGTATATGGGAATCGGCGGTTCGATCTGTCAAACTCCATCTGCACCGCGTCATTGGCAACACAATTCTTACAACTGAGCAACTTACTACTCTCCTGACGCAGATTGAAGCGGTTGTTAACTCACGGCCACTCGGTGTGACACCTGATACAGATAATTACTATTTATCACCTTCCCATTTTCTTATAGGGCGTCTGCTTACTATGGTACCTGAAGGTAGTCTACAAGACATACGCGAGAATAAGCTCGACTACTGGCAACATGTTCAAAACATGTATCAAGGCTTCTGGCGACGCTGGCATAGGGAATACCTGACTTCATTACAAAATCGACCTAAGTGGAATCGGCGCACGCCGAACATTGCTATCAGGGACATTGTTCTTGTAAAGGAGCCCAATACACCACCAGCGGTATGGCCTATGGTAAAGGTAGTGGAAACTTATCCAGGTGCTGATGGTCTCGTACGAGCAGTCAGACTTCGTACCGCTCGAGGGGAAGTTACACGTCCCATCACCAAGCTATCCGTTTTACCCTTATTCTTCTCTTACGCTGTTTCAGTGGCTGCCGGGATGTTCCGGAATAGAATGCACGACATATTCATTAACATTATAAACCATCAAAATGTTTTGATTCTTATTGTAAAATGATTAATGCGGCAACACTGACGCTTAAAAGATTTTCTTGATAAACTGCACTACACGGCAGCACTGCTTTTACTTATTCTCTTTTTACATGGCATTCGCATAAATTAAAGGAATCCATTTGC